AGAGAAGTCATTCGAGACTGAAAAGAAGCAGAAATGGGAGACATAATGGAAATAAGGGAGTCGAAGGGGGAGAACGATGTGACAAGAAACCAGATAGGAGGACACTAGAAACCGAGCGATATACAGAGGCCAATATCCAACAGTGACAGACCAGGATAGGGTCTGGATTGAAGGCCCCTCAAATAAACAAATCAAGCTAAAAAAATTTAAAATATGACCCTTTTAATGGAAAGGGAGGTTCCAACAGTAACAATTTAATGAAGCAAGTTATTTGTTATGGATAGGTAAAAATAAGAAACGCATGATGTGTGAAGCTGTCGGCGGTGAATTGTGGGTATTGGATGGTAACCTAAGTCTATGTGTGGCAAAAGCATAGGATAAATTAAACACAATCAAACCAAGCCAAGCTGGGTGCCCGGGGGGAGAGCGAGAGCCATCTTGGAAGGAAACTGACATATAAGTTGCATTTTCAGCCAAAGTACCTGAAACCTTTTGTCCAAGGAACTATACTTTTCAAAGATTTAAAGGGTTCCTTCAGCCCGCTGTTGTCTGTATTTCCACCATGGGCTGAAGACCTGAATAGATTAGGCAAATTTGTCCACTGACGTATGAAAAAGCGAGCAATGTATTCCCTCTTCCCAGCAACATTTTTCCAAACCAGATGAGATATAATCTCTCCAGCATGTTCTGGGTCTACCGTGGGATGTCCTACCAGTGCTTGGAAAACCTTCAAAGGAAGGTGCCCAGGAGGCATCCTGTTCAGCTTGAGCCACCTCACCTGGCTGCTTTCAACATGAACAATGAGCTCTACTGGAGCTCCCTCTGGATGTCTGAGCTCTTACCCCATCTCTAAAGGTGAGCCCAGACATACTACGAAAAGGAAACTCTTTTCGGCCACTTATATTCACAATCTCATTCTTTCAATCACTACCCAAAGTTCATGGCCATAGGTGAAGGATGTAACGTAAATTGACCGGTAAATCGAAAGCTTTGTCTCCCAGCTCAGCTCCCCCTTCATCACAATCTCATTTTCACAATGTTGCAATTTTACCCTCACTCGTGAGCAAGACCCCAAGATACTTGAACCCTTCCCCTTTACAGCAACTCAGTCTCAACCTGAGTAATCCACTGTTTTCCGGCAGGGACCAATGTCCTCAAAACCGTCCACTTTGTGCTTAAGGTCATGCTCTGATGAAGTCGACAGAACCACATCATCTACAAAGAACTGAATGTATTTTTTAATATTGGGGACAGAGGAAGTGCTCTGCTGTGGGCAGCTAGGCAGGTTAGGAAGGCTTTTTTTTCATTGGAATCAAACTTTCCAGGATGTTGCATAATTAGGGTTACAGAAACTCAGCTGGGGACATAATCATCATCTCACTGGAGAATGAGACAAATAGAGAGAGAGAGAGAGACCCAGCAGACTGAAGGCTTCTTCTGCAATAGTGCATGTACTGATTCTGGAAGGGACCAAGAATGAGGGGGAGGATGAATGTGTGTGAGTGGGACCTACAGTAATACTTTGATGTAAAGGACAAGGAGCAGAGAGAAGCTTTGCATCGTGACAATGAGGCAGCTCCTGGCACCCCTTGTAGGTGGAAAGAGGATGTCTGCTGCATCACATATTGCAGTGGGGTTAGTGGGAAGGGTGAGGCACAGAGGAGGGAGGGAGTCTGCTGGGAGGTCAGACACTTTATCTACAGAGCTGTGTAAACAACAGGCCGTGGAGACCAAGAAGGAGGGGAGTGAGGAATTGGGCAACAAACTACTGATTGTCAAGGGGTAAATATAAAAAAATATATTTTTCTTATAATTGGTAAAAATACATTGATTTCTTGGCTTGATCTATTGGTGTTTAAACATATTCAAAATTAAAATGACCATAGGTCAGGGGTCAGGTTTTCATCCAAAACAGCAGATCTAGTGCTGAGTTGTGTTCAAGATCATTTCAGCTAGACCGATGTTTGCAGACATAGCACCTGGACCTGTTCTGTCCTGTTGAAGGACAGTACCCCTAGTCAGACCTTGGTGCTATAAAAAAAATATTTTTAGTGCAAAAGGAATGAATTTGTTCTTCGCCCTTGGAGTTCTTTCCTGCATTTTTTCAACAGGATAACGGGAGTTCTGCATCACAGCCTCTACTTTATACATATGATATTTATACATCACAGGCACACGCTGCATTACTACAGAATAATGTAACTTTGACAAAAAATAAAAGCAGACTGTTCACTGTATTTGATCTCATTCAAAATGTTGTGCTTTAGAAAGGTTGCCCTAAAAGGTGATTATGTGTCTGTCTTCACTGTCCCGAGGTGGCCAAGAACATCAGGACAGGTTTTACATTCTGGCATTTAAAATAAAACCTGAAGTGCAAAAAAGTGTTTGAATGCCAATGTTTCCTTTTTCAGTTCAGGTTTTATTTTTAATGCCAATTCAATATACAGTGACTGTGTTGAATTTCTAAGTGTAGTGACTTTATGACTGTGACTACTTGGGCTCCTGTTGGACCACATTTTAACATGTCAAACATGATGATGTCTTTAAGTCAGCCGACTCCTGATAATCTCAGGAAAATAAGACAACATTCTGGGTGTCATTATTTTGTAATTAAGGTGAGCCATTGTGACAGCTGTTCTGCAAATATTATGTATTCTTGCTTTAATGGAAATAGTATTTGTTAGTTAGTTGCTAGAATGCTTTTTTAGCATATGTAGCGTATGTGAACCTGAATACTGCCTGCTCAACAGGGGAAACTCTAATACTTGTCCTTAATGGAAGTTAATATGCATCATTTGGTTTTATAATAGTATTACATACTTGATCTTTTATTGACATGAATTAAAAAATATGATAACCATGCAGCTTTCCTAGGACATAGGTTGGGGCATTTGTAGTGCTTATTCAGTCCTTTTTGTGTTTTATCTTCTACCTTTTGAAAGTACTTTTGCTGTGATATTTGTAGAGGTTTCTTACATGGTTATTGTATTTTACTTTCAGCTGGCTGACAGGGAGGGTGGGACACAAATGGAAAGACACTACTGCTGAGACACTATGCTGTTGCAGAGAGGCCATCAATATATGTGCACTGATGTACCTCCTTACCTGTGCTGTATATGGGTAGAAATCAAAACCAATGTGCCCTGTATTCTCAGTGTTACACAGGTGTTGGTACCCTGAGTGAGGATGAGCATTTCAATATGCTGTCCTTCCCTTTCTTTGCCTTTTATGTGGTTATTGTAACAGTTTTTTATGCTGTCCTCTAAGCCAGGTGTCTCATGAAAAAAAATCTAATCTTGTAAAATAAAGAAAAAATTAAAACATGGAACAGTGGAACGGTGGAAGAGTTCAATAGACCAACCGGTAAGAAATAGGTCATTTTGTCTTGTCATAGTAGGGAAAGCACAGGTGTTACTAATAACATTAACAAAGCATCTGTTCTTCCAAGTTTCCCAGTGAACCATGACAGTGTGACAGTGAGCAACCATGTGCAACACCAAAGCAGCTCAGTGGAATTCAGCCATCATTCATTTATTTTTCGTACTGGGATGTGTCAAAATGACTTCCATTGAGAAAATCTATGTCAGGCACCCTGATAGCTCACTTGTTAGAGCTGGTACCGCATGTGCCAAGGCTGAGGCCTAGCTGTAGTGGCCTATTCAATAAAGGCAAAAATAAAGATCTATGATTCCTTGTTATTCAGATGCAGCAGATAATGCAAGCACTGTGAAATCAAGTCTAATTGATTACAGCGGCTGCATGTTAGCATCCTTGATATTTCACAGTCAGGGAATTAACATTAATCTTATGTACTGTATACATATATGGGATTAGCATAAAGTGGGCACGTCAGCAAATGGGAGACTTGTAAATACTGATAGAACCCATTTTCATTCAGATAGCTTGAGGTCAGAGGTCAAGGGATACCTTTGAAAATGGCCATGCCAGTTTTCTATCACCAAAATTGGGAGTGTTATTTAGCAGGCATATATGTGAAAACACCTGTGTGGATTGACTTTAAATTGACTTCTATTTGAATCCCTGAGGTTATAGGTTAATGAAACAAGAATAACCTTTCTGTTCTTATTTGTAGAATTTTACAGGCAAAACCTACCAATATTAATAAGTTATGAAAACCTTCCCAGTTTAACCATCTATCTATTCACTATTCTAGTTTTGAATGGGTGACATAAATCTTATTCATCTTATTGTATCAGGTTAAAAAATCTGAACTGGGTTTTCATTGATATTGGTGCTTTATGGGCATAGCTCAAAAATCTTTTTGTGTACCACTTTATCAGTGCATATAGAGGAGGGACACACTTGTACTAATAACTTTACATACAGTGTAAGTGCACTGGGCTGGTAGCCAGCAGCAGTAGGCCTATATGGCTTTTGGCCAGAAGATGTCACTATACAATAAGAAACAAGCTGCACTAATCTGTAACGTTTACGACCCACATAAATTGTCTATCTATCTATATTTGACATCATAACTATGACATTACACTGCTTACTATACCACTACCCCTATATCATGTGTAAACAATATGCTAAGGATATCGCACATGCTATAATATAATGTCAAATGTAGTTTTTTGGGTGGTTTTAAATTAAATATTTTGCAGTGAGTGTTTCAAAAGAAATGAGAGCAGACCCCCGTCCAGTCCAGCAGACTGTTAAGATTATTAATATTAGATAAGACTATAAGGTAATTATTTGTGAAATAATGTGTGAGCACCAGTACTTTAATCACTGATGGTAGTAACCAGATCATGACAATAGCCTCAGATGGGGTTTGCTGGACGAATTAAATCTAAAGATTGTAAACAAGATTTTCCTGGTCTAGTGTTAGTAATTGTGTGTATAACTATTTGGAGCAAGGTTGGAAGGCAGTCCCTGCCAGGATACAATCTGAGAAGCACAGCTCTTATTTTGAAATCAGGGTTGAGAGAAAGACAGAGGCCGAGACTTTTATTTTGAAGTCTCGTGTCGCTAGCTCTCCAGTCACGGGCAGAGCAGAGGTAGACCGAGAGGTACAATACTCAGTAGTGGTATAGCTACATTGGCAGCGGCAAGTATGAGAGGAGATAAGTTTACAGGGTGAGCTAGGCTGGTTGGCAGCCGCTGTCGCATTTTTGGATAAACAACGCAAACCGCAGGACGTCGAGAGGTCGTGGGACAGTTTGTGTTTACTGGTGGACACATACGGTTCTTGGATAGAGAGCGGCGGCAGGAGCAGGAGCAGCGCCAGTGTGTGCTTCGGCAGCGGTCCCGCTGCTAGCGAAACATGAACAAAAACCACCGAGTGCCGAGCAACCGTTCTCTGAGTGCCGTGGAGGTGAAGAGCAAGGTACATAATGTAGTCCTCGTTGTCACTTTACTGTCTACATGTGTAGTCTTAACTCTCCCTGCGATGATTACTCTGGCTAATTTAGCGTGCTAAGTGGCTTGATAGCAAGTTATGATGTCGCACAAATGATAGAGATACGAGCTAAAGCTTAACTAGCAAACCCAGGTTTTGTTAGCTCGCTGGCAGCTCGCCATACTTTAAAGTACTAAAAACTTTGACTTTAACCGTGGTGTATTTTGACTCTGAGTTGTTCTGATAAGTTTGATAGCTAGCTAGTAAGTTTGAAGGCGGTGGTTACTGTCAGCTGACGCCGCAGTGAGCCAGTGTCACCTGTCACAGCGTCCTCCGGCGCTCCCCTCTGCTCATGTACCAAATATTGATTCAAAGTTTGATTCAAGTTTAGTTTAAGAAAAACCATAAGGGATGTTTGCTTACGTTACAATAGCTTTTGATGTCAAATTATCCCTGTATTACGTCTTAATACCTGCTTGTCACGTTATTTCCCTGTGCGTACAGGCACAGGTGTTATACGGCCTGCGTGCGACAGGCTCATGTCTCCTTCCGCGTCCCGCCTGTGACATGATGACACACACACATGAGGAATGGGGCCTCAGGGCGCTTCTTCTGCCCGAAACTAGTCTTTATACCTACATATGTTGACACTGAACAAAAACGGTGACCTTTATGTTTGTGTACAGTTACTATTTAAGTTTCCCCCAACCACTTTACACAAAGGAATAACCAGTGGTGGACTGTAAATAAGTACATTTAACTTACTCACGTACTTATATACTGTCGTTTTTCAGTTTAATGCAGCTGTAGACCATCTCAGAGGCAAATATTATACTTTTTACTCCACTGCATTTGTCTGACAGCTTTAGCTACTAGTAGCGAGCTACAGTGAAAATGATGTATCTCTTTTTTGTGATAAACTGAAAGATTTAGTGACCCTGCATTTTAACGTATATAATAACATATATACCAGTAAAATACAGGGAGCATTTTACTGCACAATAAGTACTTTTACTTTTCATACTTTTACAGTTTGCCAATAATACTTACGTAATACATATTTTTACTTAAGTAAGGTTTGAATGCCTGACTTTTACCTGTAGTGGTGTATTTTCACAGTGTGGTATTAGTGCCTTTAATACTTCTTCCTCCACTGGTAATAACATTCTTTTTATTTGACTTTGTTCCCAAACAGTCCAGGGTCACTTTAAATGTGTTGTCTTCTAATGTCTTACTTACCAGAAACAGGCCTGGGTTGTTTCCCCAATCTAATATAATTCAGCTTTGTACTAATGCGTAAGATGACGAGTGTCCAGGACAGGTTGGCAGTGAGTTGTAGATCATCTTTTGTCAGTGCTGGGCAACAGTAACCACAACACTTGGTTCTTCTCATCAACACCACCAGTGGGACATTGTGCTCTGTCTCAGCTAAACAGTTGCCTAAAGATTAGGCATCTGCAGCCATCGATTTATTCAGACACCGATTACTGTGTTACTCATAAGCCAACAGCATGTTTTGAGGGTATGCATCTATGCTGAAAACACACAGTCTTTCTTACAACTGCATAGCAAACATTCTGTCATTTCTGACTTTATTACAGTCTTGAACATATTGCATCCATTAAGACATACACATAGAGATATACACATCATCACAAAGTCTACATTAATAATCCATCACATGTGGTGTGTTAGCTTGTCCACATAGATGACAGACTCTTACATACAGCTTACAGTTGTTTGGAAATTAGGCTACCAGAACACTCACAGCCCTGAATCTCTCACCCTTCAAAGAGATGTTCCTTTGTATTACATCTCACCTATCTCACCGTTTATTCAGCTATTGAATAATCTGTTCCTCCCTCAAACCAATGTGTGTTTGTATGATTGCACTCACATGTGTATGTCTCTCTGCTCCACCCCAGTTTGGTGCAGAGTTTCGTCGGTTCTCTCTGGATCGCTCGAAGCCGGGTCGCTTTGATGAGTTCTACGGCCTGTTGCAGCACGTTCATCGCATCCCAAACGTGGAGTTGTTGGTGGGTTACGCTGATGTGCATGGCGACCTGCTTCCCATCAACAATGATGACAACTACCACAAAGCCATCTCCACTGCCAGCCCTCTACTCAGGCTGTTCCTGCAGAGGAAAGGTAAGTTCGGAGAAAGTGTTTGAACAAAGGCCTAGTTTCCACCTGTCTGTTAGGTCAGATCTGTTTTCCTATGGAAATACAAACAAAGAGCTTGTGTTAGTACAGCATATAAATATGGGATAGGCCAGTGGACAGGAAACTACACTACTCACAAAAAGTTAGGGATATTCGTCTTTCGGATGAAATTTCAGAATGTAGATAAAATACACTATAACCTTTCCAGGTGATCTTAATTTGACCTTCTCTAAACTTTTGAATGCATATGTCCAACTGTTCAATGTCTCATTACTTATTGCATAACATGCTGTTCTCTAACAAGGTGATTAACCACAAAAATCATGACAAGTGTCTGATCCATGAATTGACCACTAAATGTTCTGGTTCAATGACAGTTTGTATTTAAACAGTCCTCTTCATCATGCTGTTCACATTTTGACATCATGAGACCAAGACGACACCTAACAGTCGATCAACAGTCCCTGGCCAGTGAGAGGCTTCAAATGGGATGTACTCAGAGGGAGGTTTCCACTGAGCTTAGAGTGTCACAGAGTATCATCAGCAGGTTGCAATAAGTCCACTTGTGAACAGCATGGGACGTCTTGTCGAGCTGTAATCGATGCTGAAGGACAAATGACATTTTACTGACACAGTGACATTTTTTGTTGTGGTATAGCCACCACTGTTGTTAGCTTTTTGTTTCAATAAACTGTTTGAGATGAAGAAATTACCATTGCATGCTTCTACTTAAATGCCCTACTTTCATGATATAATATCACTGTAGCATCAACCTTTTACATTTTCCATAAATTTCACCCGAAAGTGGAATATCCCTAACTTTTTGTGAGTAGTGTATGTTATTCAGCTCTGTGTATTGTCTAGATAATCAGAAAGATACAATTATAAAAGACAGCAGTATAGTCTTATATTTTTATGTTATTAGGCTGCATGTTGCCCATGTGTTTTGTCCTCATGGATCTGTCAAACGAACTATCAAACTCTCCTGTGTCCTTTGATGTCCCTTTCTGACCCACGTAGCTGAAGGTCAGCGACCTTGCTGAAGCAGTATTTGTTTCCAAAGACAATCTCTCAGCATGGGCTGGGTAAAACACATAAAGACCTGTAAAGAGTAGATATTTTTTCTCACTTCTCTCTGACCACCATTTATCAACTTGTCCAATTAGGATATCCTGGCGTTTTGGCATGGCGGTCACACAGGTGGTGTGTTTTTGCTGTGTGAATGTTAAACACACTTTTTGTATACAGTACTGCTGTTGTTTCTTTATTTTTCACTCGCTCTGGTGTAATTATAAACAATAACTATTATAGTTATTGTCCTGCTAATACAGTATATAGTAAGGCAATTCCTTTATTTCTTCAGGTGCTGGGGGAAGTGCTTAGAAGTTTGTTGATGCTGTAATTTTTGCTCATGACTGTAGTTTGCTAGTCATAGTTTGACATGTTTAGGGATTGGAATAAATCTCTCAGACTAGATATATATTCATGCAGTATAATAATTGCAATAATTTTTGAAGTGCAACCAGTGCTGATGATATGCTGAGTGTGACCTGTTGAATGCAGGGAAGACCCCAGGGTTTGTTGACTGGGGGCAGGTTGGGCCGTGCGCTCTGTTGTGTTTAAGCTGTCTCGCTGTGCCATATGACCCTATAGAAGCTAAGCCACTTTGTCAGGAGGAGATTAGTGGGGTCACTGTGTAGCGCTGCATGGGACCGTGTTTCAATTACACGCTCCAGACACTAGCCCCACGCTGGGCTCACTGCTGGTCGCACACACTCACACAAAAACACATGAAAAAAAACAGTCATGCAGGCAAGCAGGCATCACACATCCGTCACGCACTTGCACATGCACCGATAGAACAAAGACAGAAGACACACACGCACACTAATGCAGCCACAACCCCCTGCAGACCCCATTGCCTTCAGCCCCTGGTTTCCCTCCTGATTTGTTTACCCCCCTTCACCTTACTGCTAAGCACCAGTTGGTCCCAGCTTAAAAGGCTCTACAGTGTGCGGATGCAGCAAATTGGCAGCTTATAGATAATTTATTATACATCTGCAGACACTAGTTGTTATCTCTAGTGATGGCTCTATCGTCAGTTAATAGCTTCTCTATGGTGGGGCCAAGTGAAGTATATCAGGCCAAACACTGAACACTAAGCACTGTTTGTTTATGTGGAAACTTGATCTCTTTAAAATCTGCTGTCTTTGAGTCAGGATGATAAATTGACAGAGGATGACCACTGATTTTATTTTGGTCCTTCATGACCTTGTTTGTTGTCATGGTGGTATCTGCACAAATGATCCTACACCAAATGTTCCTTTTTTTAAACACCCTCATTTCATCAAATGAGTCAACTCCAAACTCTTCCATGTTATCAGCAGCATAGGAGGAAGGTCATAGTGGAGGGTCATAGTGAGTGGGTCACTCTTGTGCAACCCTACTAAACTATTCAGCTCTTGACTGCTGAGTAATTCTACTGAAGCAGTTTGTGTTCAGTGCCCCACAGCGTATCGGTCTTTACTGTCAACCCCTGGCTTGTAATGCCATTAGAATACTACTATGGCCTTTAACACTGCAATTGGGTGATTATGTAAATGTATTAGATGGTCAGATGTGATGTGATTGGTCATTATTGCATTAGAACACGACTTCAGACAAGGCAGCAGTGTGGATCAAAGTTTGTTGCAACTTGGCCTTTATGGAAAGTGCAGTGAAATCCTATTACGCAGATATCTGGGAAATATGCTAATAAAAATAACACTCACTCTCAAGGCTTAGTGATTGCAAGCAGGTTTCCGACAGGCGGTTTCCGTTGACATGATTTTTGTGTGTGTGTGTGTGTGTGTGTGTGTGTGTGTGTGTGTGTGTGTGTGTGTGTGTGTGTGTGTGTGTGTGTGTGTGTGTGTGTTAAAAACTAAAAGTGTCTAGTCTCAGCACAGTTCAGTCCATGCGTGTTATTTTTGGCTCTGCATTTTATTTGTCTGGGAGACTAAATCCAGGCTACGTATATCCCAGGCTATGTGCTCTGTGGGTTTTATTGAGATGGTTCAATGGATGGATAGAGGGATAGATGTTAGGCTGTGAGTGTCTGTTGCTGTATTGTTGTGGTCTGGTTCTTGAATAATGCCCACATTGTTGTTGTTTGTGCATCAACGCTACATCACTGACCAGCCATTAGTGTTGTATTGTTCACTGCTGAAAAATGGGGTAAGTGTTTGTGCCTATGCATGGACTACCGGACTCTGTCTATGCCAGGCATTTTTAAAATTGCTTCAACACACACCGGTACAACCCAGCAGCACTGGGTATCCCCTACATCTCAACCCCAGCTGTGAACAATGTGACAATGGCTATTGAGCTGGCAGTGGTGTCCACTGTTTATTGGTTGTCATGGCAGCAGTGAAGGGGCCTGTTCATAGGTGGATTAACAGTGCTAGAGTCTTTTTAAGGGAGATGTGGGCTGCAAAGCATGCTGGGAGCAGTACTGCTAGCATTTGAAAACAAAAACTGTCTTCAGGTCAGTCTAATCTGTCTTTCTACGCTTTATTTGTCGTTTGAACTCCTCTGATATTCGTGTGTGGCAGAGACGCTTCACAAACCATCTGAATCAGGATCAATAAAATCTAAATGATACCCAGTCCAGGCAGCACATTAAGATTACTTCACTGATACATGAGAGTTAGAGCTATTTCCTGGTCCACTCTGTTTTTGCTAAGCTCCGTGTAAATGGAGAATGTTGTGGTTAGTCAGCTGTCGATGACAAACAGTCCACTGGATAATGTTGATGTTAGTTTCTCTCTTGTTGTCGTATCAGTGACTGCTGTTTTAGATGCTGATAAAGAGCAGCTTTTGCCAGCTGGTTGGAGACATGGTGGTTTTACATATAGCCTTTTGCTAGACCCCAGTCAGTCTGTCAGTTGTTCTTTGTCATAACTCCTTCCCTCCTGCGTGGCTTGGATGGGAGGGAATCAGTAGTATGATAATGTGATAAAGTAGGGCTGGGCGATATAGCTGAAAAATGTACCATGATAAAATGTTGCATTTCAGCTGATATAGATAACTATTGATACTTTTGTGTGAAGGCACACAGGTAATAATTTTAATGTTTTGTCATACAGTATTGTCGCGGAGTACCTCTCCATCATGGGCTGACATGTTCATTGTTTCTTGAGATGTAACAGATGGAGGTTGTGACTGTACTCCAAAGGGTGGAAGCTGTGGTGGTTCACTCATAGCATGCTCCACTATCAATATGATGAGCCTGGTTTGCATTTAATGCATTTAAGTGAAACTATTAAGCATTCTATTGAGCAATTATCTTATTGCTATTGATGAAATGTCTATTGGTGATACATACTGCTATTGTTTTATTGCCCAGGCCTATACAGTGAAAAACTGGAGCACCTGCTCCACCTTACTGAAAGCTCTTAAGACAACTGTGTGCTCCAGCTCTCCTCTTTCTAGACTCTGCCTCAGTTGTGCTTTGAGATTTAAGTTGGTTGATGTGCAAAGACTCCTACACAGCTCACACTATTATACCAAAACTATTGCTGGATTTATGAGGCCAGTACTGACAATGTTTATGTTTGTTAAAATATTCCAGTGTTACATTGATAGTAAAACATTTCATTGGATGGCAGAAACTTTCAGTAGAATAGCCTGTGGTATTTTAGTTGGTCATGTAGGCCTGTGGACTTCCATTCAAAAGAAATGTTGACTGTTGTTTCAATTTCAGGTATAGTTTCGTATTTAAGCAAAACTGGGTTTGGAGAAACTGTGAGTCATGCCCAGGTTTATGTTTGATTGGCTGTAAGTATGATTGTCAGAATAGATTTCCCTAGATTGAATGACACCATGTTTGCCTGTATCAGTCATCCAGAATGTTCCTTGCATTTGTATTCACATAACATACACAAAGTTTCCAGGTTGTCATCCAGTGGTTGCAGCTTTTCAATCTCCTCCAGGGCGTGGGTTTGTTT